AATGTAGCTAGAGTCTTGTATTTACAGGAAGAGTCTCTGAAGGAGTAATCGAGGCTAAAAACCTGCATGGTGGAGCCTGATTGGAGCAAGTGGGCAGTCCAATCGACATTTGGGATCGTGAAGTATGGTGGTGTGACCCCAGAAATCCCGGTGAATCCCGGCCGCCGCTCTTGATCGTGGGTTCTGAGCTTCTTGACGTGGAGACGCATTTATGGCCTGGATAGCTGGTGAACCAATATCTCAGGCTGTCAGAATTCTTGTGAGAATGTCCATGTCTAATCACTCTGATCCTCATCACCAAATCCTGACTTCAGTCACTTCCCACCTTCCCTCGTGCATTAAATGCTTTTTTTGTGGCCAGTGGGTTTGCTGCATTAAACAGGCACTACTTCATTAAATGAAGCCTGGGACCCTGCTGTCACGTGATAATTTGCCTTTAATGCCTTGGCCGTGATTTTGTTCGGCCTCGGCCTCGGCCTGCGCTTGAGGCCGAGATGATCATGCCTTAGTATTTCTTCTTTTGTCTTTAGGAAGGCGAAGTACCCTGGCGAAACGCTGCGTTTCAGTTTTTACGAACAAGTGCCAGGGCCGAGAGAAGGGGCTCCTTCGGCCAGCTTATGGCCGTGATTTATCAGGCACAAACATTTCCATCCACATCAACCTCTCGACGCACGGTAGACCGTGCTGGCATGCCTGCGCACAACTGCACCGCATTCAAAAGTAGGAAACCGCGTGTCAACGCATATCCCCTCGGCCCGGAACTCCAGGCCGTGAGATTTGCGCGGTAGACACTTTTGGCACGCCCGGTGGGATTCTTGTCAAAAAAACTTATGGTGGAAACTAGGGCACAAGCAAAGCTCAAAGACAAAGCAGTCGAAATGACTTCTGAGTCTCCTGAGTCCACCCCACCAATCACTATCACCGAGACCGAACATTCGGTCAGGATCTCGGCCAGCGTTCCAATAACGACTGATCGCATGACCGAGTCTATGCAAGAACAGGCAGTAGTGGAGGAGCTGATGTCCAAGCAGGCCTACAGGATAGAAACATCCTTCATGGCCGCAATGGACAGATTCTTTGTGCCTGATAAACCACGGCCATGAGCTGGCCGAAGGAGCCCTTTCTCTCGGCCCTGGCATTTGTTCGCAGAAGCTGAAATGCAGCGTTTCGCCAGGGCACTTCGCCTTCCCAAAGATAAAAGAAGAAATGCTAAGGCATTATCATCTCGGCCCATAAATGCGTCTCCACGGCCAGAGGCTCAGAACCCACGATCAAGGGCGGCGGCCGAGATTCACCGGGATTTCTGGGGTCTCACCACCATACTTCACGATCCCAAATGTCGATTGGACTGCCCACTTGCGCTAATCAGACTCCACTATGCGTAAATTCAGCCTCGATTACTCATCCAGGGACTCTTCCTATAAATACAAGACTCGAGCTACATTCAAAGGGTTCAACACCAAAACAAAGCCTCCCACGGAGCAACTTATTTTTTCCTGTAATGCACTTTCAATATCTTTACTTGCTTTCCTAGGAGTAGTGGTAGATTGTAAGGAAAATCCATTTCATCAATATATCATACGACCCTTGATTTTCAAGGCGCCGGAGCACCATCCTTGTTGTTCGTTCACTCACCCCATATATCATACGACCGTCGCTCCCTGAGCAGCGCGCCGGAGCACCGCCCAAAACCCACCACCAACACCATCACTCAACGGCCTTGTAGTTCAGGCCGTGAACCTAACAGCCGAGACCAGTTTCTCTCTCGGCTACAATCGTTTGACTAGGAAGACAGATCAAACAGGCGCACCACTTATCCATCCAACACTCATCAACACATCAACGCACGGTAGACCGTGCTGGCACGCCCGCGCACAACCGCACCGCACCCAAAAGCAGGAAACCCCGTGTTAACGCACATCCCCTCGGCCCGGAACTCCAGGCCGTGAGATTTGTGCGGCAGACAGCTTTTCCAGGAGAGGATGCCGGCAACCTCGCCCATGACGCCTCCCAGAGCTGGACAGAGAGGCCAGGAGTGCGAAAGGATCGAGCCTTACGGCGAAAGCAGTAGCCTAGGCATCCCTGGCCGCACCCAAGCGTCAGGCTACGACTAGCATTCTCTGCCGCCGACAAACAGCTGGGGGCAGTCCCAGCCCACATGGGCGAATCCCAGACCAACCTACTCGGCAGGGACAGCACATGGACCGCTCCATGCTTTGGCCGTATCGCTAGGGCAAAGCAGCCTCGCGCATCCCGGGATCCATCCACTCGGCCCGGTTTACACTGCGGCCGTCCAGACCCATCCTGGCCCAAGCAACACGACCACTGTTTCATCGCAACAGTACGGTCAGAGCAATCCGACCGTCTCACCACCATTGTAGGCGTCGTTGTTTCCGCCGGGCTCTCACCTTCACTACGGTTCGGCCATTCCAGCGGCAACGCACACGCACCTTGGCCAAACCCATGGCGCTCATCTGGCGTCAACCAGCTCGGTCACACCGGCCGAGTCCCCTGTCCCAATGGCCCAACAAACGTGGCCGCAGAACGATGTACAACAGGCACCACGGCCATGTGAGGCCCAGCATTAGGCGCCACCTCAAGGGCTCCGACTCGAAGACGTCCGGCGAATGATCGAGGAAAGCCTAGCCCAGAGGCGGCCAGACGCGCCACGATATACAAGGCCGTTCCCGCCAGAAAACGACCGAATCCCTCTTCCCCGGAACTATCGGTTGCCAGAATTCATGCTGTTCTCCGAGGACGGCCAGACCTCCTCCATCGAACACATAGGCCGTTTCACGGCCCAGTGTGGAGAGGCCGATTCGGACGCCGAAAAGCTCTGTTTGTTTGTTCACTCCTTGACCGGCGCAGCTTTCTCATGGTTCGTAAACCTTCCAGCGAATTCGGTGAGGGATTGGCCTGACGTGGAAAGAATATTCCACGAACATTTCTATCAGACCAACTGAGAGATAACAGTCGCCGAGCTAGCTAGAATGAGCTAGGCGTCAGACGAATCACCTCGTGATTACCTGCAGCAATTCAAAACGTGTAGGAACTGGTGCCGGACAAACCTGCCAGAGAGGGAATTTGTCAAGATGGCCGAAGAAGGGCTTGAATTCGAGTACCGGAAGAAATTCCAGGGACTCGAATTCCGGGACATGTATGACTTGACCAACATGGTGGACAGATATGCATCCTTGTCGAAGGAAGAGATACAGAAGAAGACGGCTTCAAAAGGGACTTACTACAGAAATCCCATTATCAGCTACGCCGAAGCAGACGGCCCTGCGGTGGCCGAGGGCGACGAAGTAGAGATGAGTTCGGCCGAAGTCAGCATAGACAAGCCCTTCGTCTGCAAAGGACTTGTTAAGACCGACAATAGCCGCACCAAAATTCCCGACGCCAAGTTCGCGACGCGGGAAACAAAGGCCTATACTTTTGACTTAACAAGGGCCGAGGCTATCTTCGACCTGCTATTGGCCGAGAAAAAGGTCAAATTGTCCTTCGGCCACAAGATTCCGAAGCCCGACGAGCTCAAAGGGAAGACGTTTTGCAAACACCACAGTTCTTGGTCTCACAACACTAACAATTGCGTTGTCTTGCGAGACGTCATCCAGAAGTTGATAGACGAAAAGAAGCTCCAATTTCCGGAGAAGGCGGCCATGCAGGTTGACTCCAAGCCATTCCCTCCACCTGTCGTCAACATGGTTGATGCCCAACTCCCAACCGGGTGTTGGGAAGCTCGTCGGACGGTGAAAGGAAAGGAGCCATTGGCCGAATTGGAGCCGCTATTTTGCGAGCGATGCAAGTATGAGATCGGTCATACCAGGCCGCAGGAGAACAAGAGGAAGGCCGCCGAGTCACCCCAACCGACCGTGAAGAAATTCAGCGGTCGCTACGACCATTGGCCGACCAGCAGAGCTGTTTTTGACCGCCTGGGGGCACATACCCCCTATACCGCGGCAGATCACAGGAACGAGGCCGCCCCTAGGCTAGTGACGACTTTCAAACCGCCGGTCATACGTGATGCTCGTTGGTACTATACACGGCCTGGGGGCAGGGCCGAACCGCTGACAAAAACCCAGCTGAGGAGAATGCAGAGACAGGTTCAGCAGGCCAGAACACAGACAACCGAGGCTGAAGGATCCAAGCGCCAAAAGAAAGTGGCGACTACGGACGGGCCACCATCCATTCCAATTATTCCCTCAACAGCGAAAATGGCCAGCACCAAGCCTCCAAGGACGTGGCGCCCTAGGCAGGACGAGAGTCCCCATGGGACGACGGCCATTTCGGATCAGCCGAAGACTGCGCTCTTGGAAAGAACAGACGAGGGTATCATCGACATTTATCGCGGAAGGGACCCCCCTTTTTTGGCCAACGGTCTGTCCTTTCTCATGGAATTCCATAAAGACCATTCAGCCACAGACCTATACGGCATGACCCCTGAGAGCCATGAAATCGTGGAGTTGGCCCTCAAAAATACAAAGGCGGAGGGGCTCCTCATTACCAGCGGATCCGACTCGGCCATCAAGGCCGTATACCAGGCAAACAGGGAAGCCAGAGCAAGAGGAATGCTGGGATACCAGCCGGGCCTAGCAGGTTTGGAGGCTAAGGCCCCATTCAGCAGGGGCGACTTAAAATATCTTCGCCAATATTTTACCGTGACTTCAGCCGACACCGTCTTTGGTCTAACAGCCGAGGAAAAGGCCCGGGTAAGCCGTTTGGATGATTACATAACGGCCAGGGACACATTGGCGAAGGCTAGATGGGCCCTCGAGGAGGAGGCCAAAGCCTCGGACCCCCCTAGGATCCAAGCATCCACAGGCAATATCCCGGGGACCGCAGGGCCTGTGATCGAGGGCCTTGGTGATCCTTTCTTTGGGCATGAGGCCGAAGACGACCCCACTTTGGGAATCTCCGATGAAGAATATGAAGGAATCCTCGGGATGGTCGAGGAAAAAGTCCTCACCAAAGACGGCTGTGAGGCCGAAGAGGAGGCTGGTAGGGGAAACCCGCTGGAGCTGGAGGAAGTCGGCATGAATATGGTCTTGGTGCTACTATCTGAGTTTTCAGCCCCAGGCGGGCAGACCAACGGCTTGGAAGATGACATGGTCGAGGAGCAGCTTGATCAGAGGCCAAAGACGAAGGAAGAATTATTAGCCGTGGCATTTAACGAGGTAATTCTTAGAGATGAGCCGAACAAATACCGACACCTCAAGCCGTTATACATCTCGGCTCATGTAGAGGGTGTGCCCGTATCCAAGGTTTTCGTTGACTGTGGGGCAACGGTCAACATCCTTCCTTATTCCTTGATGAGGAAGTTGGACAAGTCAAAGGAGGACCTCATCCCCAGCGACGTGGTCATGAGCAGCTTCGTCGGTGATAAATCTAAAACCATTGGCGTGTTGCCATTAAAGATTACCGTGGCCGATCAGACAAGAGTCGCGGCCTTCTACGTAGTCGAATCCAATGTGGACTACAATATATTGCTCGGCCGTGATTGGATCCACCAATCCGGGTGCATACCGTCTTCCCTCTTCCAACTATTATTCTTTTGGGACGGCCAGAAGGTGTCTATACACCCAGCCGACGAAAAACCTTTCGAGGCCAACGCCGTACAAGCACGGATTTACGATGACGACGTTGGATGGGTTGTTCTCACCGGCCACGATGCAAGCGGCCGACCAACCAGAACGACGGCCCAAAAAGTACTGGAGCTAGGCGCCGAGAATGTCCGACAGGACTCGGCGCGCGGAGTGTTGATCGACCTCACCAGCCTTTAGATGACAGACAAGGCCACTAGAGAAGAAGGAGCAGCGGTCGTGACTGACTTGCTAGAGAGGCTACTGGAACATTGGGCGGGGGGATCCTTATGGCCAAATTCACCGATCAACCTGATCGAGTTCCTCCACGAATCAGACGAGGCGGGCGCTTTGACCAATCCCGAAGTCCAGGACCCTTTGTTAGAAATAAATGTAAGGTCGGAGGCCGAACCACGGCCTCTTTTTGTAAGCCAGCTTTTGAACCCTGGATTAGCGGCCGAAGTTATCGGCCTGCTCCATGAATGTAAAGATTGTTTTGCTTGGGATTATCATGAGATGCCTGGATTGCCGAGAAGTTTGGTCGAGCACGAATTAAAAATCAAGGAGGGGTTTAGGCCTTTCCAGCAGTCGCCGAGGCGATTCTCCACCGAGGTACAACTTAAAGTCAAAGAGGAAATTGAACGGCTCCTTAAAGCCGGCTTCATCCGAACGGCCCGGTACGTTGAATGGTTGGCCAACATCGTAACAGTTTTAAAGAGGACTGAGGCTTTGAGGGTTTGCACTGATTACAGAAATCTGAATCTCGCAACCCCTAAGGACGAATACCCCATGCCTATGCCAGACCTCTTGGTAGACGGAGTCGCAAAGCACAAACTTCTGTCTTTCATGGACGGCCATGCTGGTTACAACCAAATTTTCATAGCCGAAGAGGATGTCCACAAGACGGCGTTCATATGTGCAGGCGCAATCGGAACTTATGAATGGGTGGTCATGCCGTTCGGCCTAAAGAATGCCGGCGCGACATACCAGCGAGCTATGAATCTTATTTTTCATGACCTCATTGGCCAAACCGTCGAAGTTTACATCGATAACGTGGTTGTAAAATCCCCATCCAGAGCCAACCACGTAGCCCACCTCCGGCAGGCTTTCGACTGAATGCGGGCCTACGCCTAAAGATGAACCCTAAGAAATGTGTTCTCGGTGTCACTGCTGGAAACTTCCTCGGTTTCTTGGTTCACCAACGAGGGATCGAGGTGGATAAAAATAAAGCTACGGCCATTATGGCAACACCTCCGCCGAAGACCAAGAAGGAACTCTAGTCCTTCCTCGGTAAGGTCAACTTTTTAAGGCGATTCATATCCAATTTGGCAGGGAAAATCCGCCCGTTGACTCCTCTGCTCAAACTGAAAGACACGGAACGATTCATATGGGGAGCAGAACATCAGGCAGCCCTCGACGACATCAAGAAATATTTATCTCAGCCACCGGTCCTTATGCCGCCAAAGAGAGAGAAACCCTTAAGGCTTTATATTTCGGCTTCAGAGGGTTCTATCGGCTGTCTGCTGGCTCAGAACAACGAGTCGGAATGAGAGCAAGCAGTGCATTATCTGAGCCGCACCCTTAACATGGCCGAGCTAAACTATTCGCTGATTGAAAAATTGTGCTTGGCACTTTATTTTGCGGCTACTAAGTTGCGCCATTACATGCTTCCTTCGGTCGTTCAGATTATCTCCAAGACCGATCTCATAAAGTATATGCTCACTCGGCCGATCATACGCGGCCGAATTGGGAAATGGATGATGGCATTATTTGAATTCACTTTCCAATATGTGGCTCAGAAGTCGGTCAAGGGTCAGGCATTGGCCGATTTCCTGGCTCATCACCCGGCCCAGGGGCAAGAAGAGGAGTTGGAGGTCGAGATCGGCATGGCCCGCATGGAGAAGAACTACTGGACCATGTACTTCGACGGATCCAGTATCGAGGCCAGGTCAGGAGTCGGAGTCATGATCGAGTCCCCTCAAGGGCAAAGATGGCAATTCGCATTCCAACTTGATTTCAAATGCACCAACAATCAGGCCGAATACGAAGCACTCATTATCGGTCTCGAAATCCTGAAAGAGATGAAGGCAACCCGTGTTTTGGTCTATGGAGACTCTCAGCTAGTTATTAACCAACTGACCGGGGAATACCAGTGCACAAACGAGAATTTAACTATGTATTACGTGACGGCCCTCAATACGGCCGACAATTTCTCCAGGATTTCCTTTGTCCACATACCGCGCGCCGAAAACTATGAGGCCAATGAAATGGCCCAGGTAGTGTCAGGCGTAAATATTCCGGACGACGACCGCGATCGTGTGATAAGAATCGAGAGGCGTACCTTGCCGGCTTTGGCCGAAAGAGGAATGGCAGCACAAGTATCATCGGCCGAGCTCACCGATGAAGTCAGCACGGCGGAAGCCGATTGGCGCTACCCCATAGTGAAATATTTACGTAACCCCTCCGGTAGCCATGAGAGGACTACATGTTTCCGGGCTCGGTGTTATTTAATTTATCAAAACGAGCTATATCGAAAGGGGTCAGACGGCTTATTGCTCCTATGTCCCAGCGTCGAAGACATCAAGGTCATCATGACCGAATCACACGAAGGGATTTGCGGCGCTCACCAGTCTGGTGTCAAGATGAGATGGCTGGTTCGGAGGCACGGCTATTATTGGCTGACCATTCTAAAAAACTGCATAGGGTATGTGAGGGGGTGCATCAAGTGTCAAATCTACGGCCCCATACAAAGGGTACCGGCCGAAGCTCTCCACCCAGTTACTAAACCGTGGCCGTTCAGAGGGTGGGCCGTGGACATCATCGGCAAGATCCATCCGGCCGCGTCCAACCAGCACGCATGGATTTTGGTGGCGACCGACTATTTTACTAAATGGGTCGAGGCAGAGTCCTATCGGTCAATTTCTAGCGCACAGGTGGTCAAGTTCTTCGAGAATCACATCGTCCGCAGGTTTGGTATACCTGAGACTATCACGGCCGTTATCCTGAGACTATCACGACCGATAACGGCCTAGTTTTCGCATCGGCCGAGACTCGGGAGTACACCGAAAGAATGGGGATCAAATTGGTCCACTCAACACCTTACTACCCCTAGTCTAACGGACAGGCCGAGGCAAGCAATAAGGTAATCAAGGGCATTCTCGAGAAAATGATTGAGGAAAAACCTAGGGCATGGCACGACTTGCTCCCGGAAGCCCTTTGGGCTTACAGGATCTCAAAACGCTCGGCCACAGACACATCTCCTCATGCCTTAACCTACGGTCATGATGACATCGTTCCAATGGAGTTAAAGGTTCGGTCTCTTCGTGTGGCAGAACAGCCTGGACAAGAAGGGAAGGATTATGCGCAAGCCATGGCTCAGGAGTCAGAAGATTTGGAGCAATCCAGATTCGATGCTTATAACCTAATGCAGGCACAGAAGCAGATTGCTGCGAGAGCCTATAACAGAAAGGTCAAACAAAAGACCTTTGCCGAGGGCGACTTAGTATGGCGAGCCGTGCTTCCTATCGGGATAAAGGACCCTCGGTTCGGCAAGTTCTCACCCAATTGGGAAGGTCCGTTCATTATTGAACGAATCCTTGGCCGATGTGCATTTCAATTGAGAAATAGGGATGGGGAATGGCACGACTTGCCAATAAACGGCCAGTATTTGAAGAAGTATACCCCGTCGTTATGGGAAACGACCGAGAAAGAGTGCTAAGGATTGCAATTGGCAAGTAAATAAAATGGCGGAACAAGAGGAAAGGAAAATCATACTCCATTTAAAAAGTGGACACATTTACAAAGAAACAGCCATGTCATGGCCGATTACAAATACGCATGATAAAATATCACATCCTAAATCTACGAACAACGGCTTCATGATCTTCTTGCTGGACAGACAGACATTTCACCCCGAGGCAGTATCCCCGCCACCCATGTCGTCACCAACCACAGAAAGAGCCGTCACTCCGGACATGGTAAGCGCAAGGGCCTTGGAAAGCGGCCGACACTCTAGCCATGATGAGCGGCCGTCACTCTGGCCATGGTAAGCGGCCGGGGTCCTCAGCCGAATAAACACGGCCAAGTTAGAGTCATCATATTGGGTACTCCCATCTTCATCAATCGCATTGCACTTTCTCCTCGGCTTCATAGGGAGGGAGGTCGTCTTCCTCCGGGGATGAGAGGGGACCTCGGCCGCATCTTGGTTTTGGCTCACGTCGACTTCCCAGGACGAAAGGCGGTTGGTAGACAGCAGGAGAGGAGGAGCCATCTGGACCAGGCCAAATTGCCAAATCATGAGGTTCAGCAGATGTAGCTCCTTGGCTTTGGAAGGGCTACAATAAGGGCCATCAGAGCAGGTTAAGACAAAGAAGGATGAAGCCCAGGAATCAAAGAAAGGCTCAAGAATGTTCAAGGCTGAGGAAACTGGGAAGGTTGGAGTGAGCTTTCGAGGAGCGTAAACTCAAGGATTTTGGGAGTGTGAAGAAAAGACGAAGGAGTCTGGGTTTTTATACTGGCGCTAGAATTCAAAATAAAGAGGTGTGGTTCTCGTAAGACGAACGGCTTGACAGCGCACTCAGAGCACGCGGGGATATGTTAGGAACCTGGGGGCCGCCGTTTGATTGGCAGGGTAAAATGATGGCTCGCGCGAATTAAAAGCACGATGACGTGTCGAAAGCTCAGAGACCGTCGTTTCATTTGACGAGGCGAAGCGACGCCCTGGGCAATGATGGTCTGCAAGACGTGCCTGAAGCATTAAATGAGCCGATTGGCCTGCGCATTTAATGCTCCAGTTGTCAATCACTTCAGAAGGAATGCAAAGGGTCCATCCCTTGGAATCCATTCTGCCCCAGCCCATGACAAGACCGAAGAATCCAAGGATGTGGGGGCAATGTTTGTGCCTAATAAATCACGGCCATGAATTGACCGAAGGAGCCCCTTTTTCTCGGCCCTGGCATTTGCTCAAACGCAGCGTTTCGCCAAGATATTTGGCCCTCCTGAAGACAAAAGAAAAGTTGCTAAGGCACGATCATTTCGGCCTCGATAATAGGCCGAGGCCGAGGCCGAACAAAATCACGGCCAGTGGTATTAAAAATCAAATCATCACGTGATAGCAGGGTCCCATGCTTCATTTAATGAAGTAATGCCTCTGTTTATTGCAACAAACCCACTGGCCATGAATAAACATTTAATGCACGAGGGAATGTGGGAAGTGACTGAAGTCAGGTTGTGGCGACAGGAAACAGAGTGATTAGACGTAGACATTCTCACAAGGATTCTTACAGCTTGAGAGATTGGGTGACCAGCTATCAGAACAATAAATGCGTCCCCACGGACAGAGGCGCAGAACCCACGATCAGGGCGGCGGCCGAGATTCACCAGGATTTATGGGGTCACACCACCATACTTCACGATCCCAAATGTCGATTGGACTACCCACTTGCTCTAATCAGACTCCACTATGCAGGATTTCAGCCTCGATTACTCCTCCATGAACTCTTCCTATAAATACAAGGCTTAAGACTACTTCCAAAGGGTTCAAACACCAAACCAAAGCCTCCCACGGAGCAACTTATATTTTCCTGTAATGCACTTTCAATATTTTACTCACTTTCCTAGGAGTAGCGTTAGATTGTAAGGAAAATCCACTCATCAATATATCATACGACCCTTGATTTTCAAGGCGCCGGAGCACCATCTTTGCTATTCGCTCATTCACCCCATATATCATAGGACCGTCGCTCACTGAGCAGCGCGCCAGAGCACCGCCCGAAACCCACTACCAACACCACCCCTCAACGGCCTTGTAGCTCAGGCCGTGAACTTAACAGCCGAGATCAGTTCCTATCTAGGATACAATCGTTTGATTAGAAGACGAGTTCAAACAGGCGCACCACTTAACCATTTCCATCCACATCAACCTCTCGACGCACGGTAGACCGTGTTGGCACGCCCGCGCACAACCGCACCGCATCCAAAAGCAGGAAGCCGTGTGTCAACGCATATCCCTTCGGCCCGGCACTCCAGGCCGTGAGATTTGAGCGGTAGACATGGTCTACATCCTTCCACAAATCCTTTTTTAAGTGCTCCAAAACATATATAAATCCTCTTAAAAATAAGATTCTCACCCTGCAAATCAGTTTTCACAATAACAGTACTTCCAGGGTTATTGCTCTTTAACTCCTCACAATAATCCCACAACTTTCCATATTGCTCTTGAATACTACATTGAATTCTGATTTTTGCAAAACTCTTGGCTTTATAAACTTGAGCCTCAGTTACATCTATGGCATAATGTTTCCTTATTATCTTCATGAAATCTGTCGCTTTCATCTTGGGATTATCTCTTAACTCCTCATCAAACCTCTTAATAGCCATGATGAAGTGGCATACTCGGTTCTTTGCCTCCTTCCACATGTATGCCTTGAAATATATGTTTTAATTCTTGTAGTTGGACCTTTCCCCACATGAGAAGCATATAGCATCCATGGAAATGGAACCTTTTGTTTATTATCTCCTTCACATTTTAGCCTCACCCTATATGAATCATTCCTCACCCACTTCAATGGCCTTGCACATGAAACTGCATAATACCTTATTGCTTCCCTACACTACTCCATGTTGGTAAATTCCATTCCCAAATGAAATGTTGGCTTCAGCAAATCAGATTCTCTTTTAAACTGCTTAAACCTAGGAGCTTTTCTTCTGCGCCTTCGGTTTTTCACACCTTCATCCTCATCATCTTCTTCATCAAGACTTACAAGTTCGTCGGTATTGTAGTCTTCACTGTCAACCTCACCAGGTTCTTCATTGTATTCTTCATTTTCTTCATCAACTACATGTTTATCAAACAAGTTGTCATCCTCTTCCAAGACTGTCTTGAACCCTTCTTCATCTAACTGCTCAAACTCAGAGTCAATCAACTCAATGTCTGTCTCACTATCATCATCTTCAGCCTCATCATCTTCAAATTCATTTGCCTCATTATCTCCTTCATTATCTGCCTCATCATCACCATCA